AAAAAACACTTGTTAAAAACCTAAACACATAGGTTATCATCATCAGTATGAAACATACACTGGCTCAGCACTTTTAAGGCAAACATGTATGTTATTCTCCTGTTAGCTCACAATAAAATAGACAAAGTTCTGTAACCACGTAACAGAAGCAATTAGAAATAAAATAATAATAGAAAACAGGAGATAATCATATCATATACTTGTTTCTTTCATATAATTATATTATGTATGCAGAAGTCACAAAACCTAGCCAGACTTGATACCAACCCCATCAAAACAACCCACAAAAAAATCCCAGACAGTTGGGAGGGCAGAATTTTGCAGAGTTGGTTGCTTCACATGTATTCAGAGATTTCACAAAAGTAATCACTGATTTGAAGAAAACAGAGGTAGAATACAAAGTCATCCTTCATAATTTTCAATAATAAGTCCTTATAACACAGAAATGTTATGTTTGATTGCTCAAGTACTCGTTACTCCTTGAAGCTCACGTTTCTAGGGGAGAGAAAAGAAATTTCAAAATAATGCTACTACATTCTAATGAAAATTAATGAAAATTAAGATAAAGTAGTAGTAATAATTAGCAACTTTGTGATCTCTTCTGTTATTCCTAAATATCAACCATTAGTGTACTACCTAAAACTCTCTATTCACTTCACTGACTTATTGCTCAAGTGCTTAACAAAGTAAATGTGAGCTGAGGAGGAAGACAAATTCTTGAGAGGATTAAATCAGATCACACAAATACAGTTACAGAACAACGCAATTACAGTGTATGCTTTACTGTGTTAAGTTCCCAGGAAGGAATAAGTAGATAGACTGAAAGATGATGATAGATGTGCAGAGATTATTCTAATGTACTTATCCACAATACATTTATAAGGTAAGACAGTAATTTAGTTTGCATATGAATTAAAAAATACTTTCTTTCAAAACACATACTTTGTGAAATTGGAATATTTGCTGATAGGATCTGATAATGACATAAAAACTAAGTAGGAAAAGTAGAAGGATAAAATATTTCACTACATGGTATTCTTCAAGCATATCAACCAGCCTACATTGCATTCAACTATAAAGCAAGAAAGAATAAGGACAATACTCTACTAATTATGTTCATTCTAAGAAATATATTACTTATCATTATCTTAAGAACAATACAGAAATGATCCACAGACTACTAGGCAAAATGTTGATTTAATATGCAACAAGGTTTGCTTAATGACTCACCAGTGAAGCAAAAGAAAAAAAAAAAAAAAAGACAACTGCTGTGTTGTCCTCCTCATTAATATTTTATTTTTGTTTCTCAGTTTCACTGTCAAAACTTGTGGAAGAAAAATTGCTGGCAATGTGGATCAGGCCACACTGACCTCAGTTCTCAGGAAACTTACATTTTATTAACAAAAGCAAGACTAAGAACAGGACATATGTATTTACCAACATAAATAGCTTAAACTCTTGTCAGTTTGGAATTCTGCTTCCCAGAGCTAGCAGACAGACAGTTACATTCACAAGCTTATTGCCTGATACGCTATTTACCAAAATAATCACTGCTCTCTCTCCCTGTCTTTCCATTCTTCACTGCAATGTGTTACACAGTATGGGAAAGACAGGATGTGAAGTCGGTGATGCCTGTAGCATGTAACAGACATCATCTAAAACAATACTCTCTAGAAGAATAAAAATGACAGTGAAAATGAACAAACTGATTAAGACCTCTTTTTTTTTGGACTCTGATGATCACGTTCTTAGATATTTATAGCCTTTAAGCACTAACAATGCAAAATACAGTAATAATTTTTATGCACTTTTAGATATTATTTTATCTAACATGTTGAGATCGAATTCATTCTTGTTGGACTTTTTCCTACACAGCGTCTCTTGAATTTTATTTCTCGTAATATGAACCATTTGTCATTTGCAGATTAAAATTAACAGTAATAAATTGACCATATATACCTGGACATAATTAATAACAGTAGTAAGCAGGCAATATATATTTGGGAGCTGTCAGCTGACGCAAGACCATTAACAAAAACAGGAATGGGAATCCATTATATGGTCTTTAGAGAGCATTTTGCATCTACTGTTTCCAATCAAAATTTCATAGTAGAAGACAACAAAAGAAGAATTAAGCACCACCTAAAGTGTTGAAGAACTTCATATAATTAAAAAAGTATTATCTAGAAACCATTTGACTTAGATGGAAACAAAGTGACTAAATCAAATCACTTACTTTTCAGTTGCTCCTTGATCAGCTGTCCCTACAACTGCACGATCTGGAGAACGTGAGGGAGATCTTAATGTAGAACTGAGAGGAGGTGAAGCACGTAATGACGACGTAGAGAGACCATGTCGACGCATTTCCTGAATTGCACGCTCTCTACCAACAGACAGCAATTTCAGTTACAAAATACTTCACTACTGCAGGGTGTCAGAACAAAAAAAATGTTTTATATTTTACTTTGGCGATTATCACAATAGTTTGCAAAGAGTCTTGTTTTCTTGTAGTGTCTTTCAGTTTTCCTCTCACATTTATGATAATGGATTTTTTTTTAGTGCAATAGTAAATTCACAAAATGTAGGAAGGAAATCAGAAATCACTTTTTTTTTTTTTTTAATTAAACAGTTTTCCAGTTATTAGTTTTACATCAGGTCATGAGAAAATTAGATTTTGCATAACAACAGGAACACAATTTTCCATATCAATTATGTTTCCATGTTAAAAAAAAAAGCAACAGTTTTAAAAATAAGAGAACCACCTCAATATGAAGAGAACAACCTCTTACCGTTCAAATCTTTCAGTTGTTAGCTGTCTTTTTAAAACATCATAGTCAGTCTGCAGCTGCGCAACTTTACTTCGAAGTGTGGAAACCTCTCTATTATGACTGCTTCTAAAAAAAACCATCAGAAGCAACAACGTTTTCTTTGAACACCAATAGATAGGAGCTCAGAGGAATTAGAGCAAGTCAACAAAAGAAAACCAGAAACTCAACATGCTGTTTCATACAGACCAAATCACAGAGACAGATTAGAAGGAGAGCCAAGCCAATTCCGTGGCATGCTTGTAGAAGAATCTAAGGTGAGAAAGATGTGAGAAGCTACTAAGTCTCTCATTGCATCTTTACTACAACACACTATATTCTTTTTCAGGCAAAGATAAGCAGCAATGTTCTATAAAAGCAGACAAATTAATTACATTACTATTCTACTGATTGTCTTCTGTTGCAATATTAAATCGTTTTTGTGTACAGTGAAAAAGAAGAAAAAAATAGTAGCCATTCATAAAATGTACAAACATAACTGATAAAACTGCAGTAAAAAGTATCAGTCTAGAAGGGAACATAACTGAATAACATCTAAATAAAACTGGTATTAATACAAGCTCAAACCAGCAAAATCTGCAGGTTTGCCAAGTACACTCCTGATTTTGGGGTCAATTGTTTCAACCTCAAGGATCAAAAAGAAAAACAGCCCTGAAAATCTTAAGTGACATAATTAAAAATGTTTCTCAGCAAATCACTGATCTGGACAATTCAACGGTTAACTGCAAAACACTCCAAATTGCATTACAGAACAGAGGAAAAAAAAAAAAAAGTCACTCCTTGAGTGTAAAAGGAGTCATCTAAACAGGCATATTATTCCATGTCTTCAAAGCCAGTATGAAGCTGAGTGCTGAGAAGTCAGTTGCGGAAAGGGAAAGATGTCGTAGCTCGCTGTGTAAGCACTGAACTGCAATCCTGAGAAAACAAGTTCCTTTCCTAGCTCAGTATCAGACTTCATGTCTGGGCACCCATTGGTCTCTGACTCCAGGCAGATGCAAAATACTCAAGAGATGGGAGCCCCCAGAAACGCAGAACATTTTTCCTTGTCTTCCATATTCATCAATAAAATTTCTATAATAATTCTGATCTAGCATATTGCAAATAGTTGCAGAAGGCTTCTGATGATATATTATTCAAAGTCCTTCCGAAATTGGCATGTATTTCCAGGATGAAGGTAAGAACTCAGAGCCCAAAATCACTATTGTAAGATAAAGAAAGAAAGCAGTTTTGTGAATTCTGAGGTTAGTACATGTAAATAACTTTGAAACAAAAGTAGAGATGATGAGTTAAGTCACTCAAAAATTAAGGAAGATTAAGAATAACAAAATTTTGGAACCCCTATGCACAGCAATCATCCTATAATAAAATTACATGGTGATCCAATATTTTTCACATGGCATCTGGCCTTTCCACAGTCAGTATCTTCAGCTAGCATCAAGTAGTTTAGCTACTGAATATGCTGTTTATTTAGTACCTGATGACTGCAGTCTCAGTGACTCATTTACCCCATTTTGAATGAAGCATTTTGAGTAATGCAACTATTCACTCTTCACAGAGTTCAAAATTTATGGCAGTGAAGAGCTTCAAAGCTATACTTTTGACAATCTTTCTGAAGTTAGAGGCTGTATCAGTACTATTTTATAAACAGAGTGGAAGCACAGGCACAATAGTGTCAAAAATGTAAATAATGTTCAAAAACATCGATGCACAACTTCTGCAAAGTTTCAGTTCTAGCTGACAAGTTCACTGCATTTTTCACAAGACACAACTGTAACCCTCACATACTTCAATCACAGTTGTGAGCATTTAAAGCTTCTGTCCTTCAGACTCCAAGTACTACAAAAACTGAATAGTAGAAAATGGAAGCATATGCAACTAGTTCTTATACCTGAACACAAGCCTGGCAAGACAAGGAACCTCCAATATAAATACAGTATTGACATTTGCAATAAAGAAGAAAGGAACCTTAAAATGCATTCAGAAGAAATCTTTTGAAAGAAATATTATGAAGTGATTGAAACAAAGTTTTGTATTTTTGGCATGCAAGAAGCTGAATTTATGTTAAATGAAAACCTCATTCTTTTCTTGTTTTGTAATTTCCATGTTTTATTTCACAGTCAGGACATTCCATTAGTTTATATCTTTGTACGTGATTAAAATTCTTTTTTTCTCAAGTAAACAAAATTCAGCAAATCTAAAACATGAAGCAATGAGATGCACAGAAGTGATCGATACCATCACCCTCTACACCTTTACTGAGATCATCATTATTTGATGTATGGCATCAATTGTCAGTAGTAAGCCTTTACACACATCAATCCGAAGTGATTTTCTTGACATTTGTGTCATCACACATAGCTTTTAACAGTTCAGGTATGTTATATTCTACTTCTTGTAATAGGGAAGCATTATCTGTCCTTTTACTTTCTGCATGTTTCCCTTCTCAACCTACTGCAATGTTCTTTTATTCTTTTCTGAAATTTAGTTTGACTTCAGGCTTCATCTTCATCTACACTCAGCTGCTATTTCAGCATCTTGCTATTCAGTGCAAAGTTACCACTACAATCACTGGTTAATGATCCCCACAAGAATAAATGGTGTTACCATGTTATGATGAGACCTAAAATGAAAACTTCAAAACTTAGGTTACTGAAATTTTACATAAAGAGTTATAATGAAAGTGCTGTCCACATTCACTGTAGGTATTGGTTTCAGTTCTTTTGGCTTTTGACTGTCTCCAAAGAGGGAGACTCCCCAAGCTCTCTGTGCAATGGCAGAGTCAAAAAGTGCTCGCTTAGAAGGAATCTCGTGTTCCCACTGGTGCTCATTGCCCATCGTCCCTGTCACTGGGCACCACAGAACAGACACTGGCTCTGTCTTCCCTCCTGTTCAGTTATTTACATACATTGATAGATCTCTCCAGAGCCTTCTGGTCTCCAAGATAAGCAGCCTGAGCTCTCCCAGCCTTTTCCTCATAGGAGAGATGCTCCAGTACCTTAAACATCTTCATGGCCCTTCATTGGACTCAATCCATTAAGTCCATATCACTCTTGTACTGGGGAGCCCAGAACTGGACACAAAGCCCCAGGTGGGACCTCACCAGTGCTGTGAAGAGGGGAAGGACCACTTCCCTTGATCTCGGAGGAAAGGATTTTAGTGATTGCACTGAAAAGATGGGAGAGTTATATCAGACAAATGAATTTAAGAAATGTGTAACTTACCTCATTTTGACATGAAAAAAAGAGTCTGATGTGAGAAAGAATGATGACTAGCAGAGAAAGTACAGCAAACATTTTGGAATAAACACTGTGAGTGGCGAGAGAAATTTCTGCTTATTCTCAAGACTGTGAAAACAAACTTAGCAAGGTGTACCTTCCGATTAGAGGTTTGTTTTAGAATTCGAATTTGAATTCACTGCTAGTGCTAAACTGAATTCCACCAGATTTATTAATTTAAGTGATACGAAAGAGAAATTTTTCACTAAACAATGCCACAATTGGCCAAAAGGCCTATCTGCAAAAATCTACTCAGCCACACTGAACATCAAGAATTTGACTGTAAGTGCCAAAATAAAGGAAAAAAAGTCTCTTTGTAGCCCACATAGCACATATAACTTAAAACTTACAGTTTCCCCTCAGCAAGTGTTAGCTTGTCTTTCAGTAACTGAATTTCTGAGTCTTTTTCATGAGACGTTAAATGGTTCTGAAATTCTTTATCTCTACTGGTAGCCAGCAATGTTTCAAGATTCTGAATTGTAAGTCTCTCACTGGATAACTGCTTTTTCAGCAACTCTGCTTCTGATTTAACATCTTCTAATTCACTTAGAACCTAGGGCACAAATTTTATTCATAATTAATACACTCTTTCACAAACACAAACAGCTCTCTTTCCTGAAGAGCTGTAAAAAACAACATGATTGGAAGTTTCATAAAAGTGAAAAGGAAACTGAACTCAAAAAACACACTTAGGCAGAGAAATATTTAAAACTATACTTAATTAAGAAATATTCAAATATGTGTCAAAAAGTTTTACTGGGAACTGGATTATTGAGCGTGTAGGCACTTGGATAGTGCACGCATTTGCACAGGTATAAAAACAGTACATACTATACTTGATTTTATTTGACTAGGATGGCTCAATTAGTTTCCCAATTTTTGCTGAAATTGTAGAATTGTTTGGTTTTGTCATTAATTTTACCAATATAAAGAAATTCTGTGGGGATGAAAACTACAGTTCTCAAGGTCTTGAATAATCCACTAGGAGAAAGCTTAATAAATCACTAAGTAAAAACACTGATTGGTGCAATAACCAGAAAAACAAATGATGTAAATTGACAAATTTTACTCTCTGAAGCAATGTATTCTTTTTCTTCAAAAACCATTAAAAACAAAAAACATGAAAAGCAAAATATGATTTATTATAAAAATTAAATTTGCTTTTGCTGCTTACCCTTTCATAATCCATGCTTTTAGATGCAAGCTGTCGAGATAAAAGGTCTTTGCTAGCTTCAAGTTTAACACAAAGTTCTCTCACAGAAGTCAGGTCAGCCAACACAGAGGACTTATCCTGATGTTCACGTTTAATGTCCTCTTCCAATTTAGACATATTTTTTGTAATGGAGGAGATCTGAGATTCATAAGCTTGATGTGCAATCATATGCTAAACAAAAACAAATATGGATACCTTTTCAGGAACATTATTATTCATCTCCCGGTTAACAGATTTTTATTTTAATATTTCCTTTAGCCTTCAAAAATTAACTTTCCCTAAAAAATTAATTTTAGATTACATTATTTTTCTTTTCTCTTTCTAAATCACAGCTAAGAACAACGGATAAATAGTCTCTGCATTTTTACATCACCATCTCAAAGAATTATACACGTACATATACATGTACAGACAGGAGTAGAAGGAAGCTGGAATTCAGAACAGAATTAAAAGTTTCAAACTTCAAAATACAATTAATTTATTTAATCATCTCACATTATTTTGTCTCTTATCTGCTTTGGTAATTAAAAGCACGAAACAAAATATGGTCAGTCCAGAACTATTTATATGTTCCAAAACTTCCTTGACCTCCATGAAGTTACTGTTTCTGGAATATAAACCTCATTATTTTAAAACCATTGCATTAGGTTACTGCACTTTGTAAACCTGATTCTGGAATTTGGACTACTACTTATTAAATATTATCAGATTTGTGCATTTAACCTAGCCACCAATGCTTGAAATACTTCATTCAAAGCTTCAGATAAAATCAAGATCTAAGCTCACACAATGCTCACAAAGACAGATGGAAATATTTTGAAGCAACTAAGTAAAAGTTTATTACAGAGACTATAACAATGACCACCCTACAGGAGAGATCTTAAAATACATGCTGAGATTCTAATTTTGGGAAGCTAGGGAAGGGAGGTTAGAGAAGGAAAAAGCTTATCTAACCAGAATCAGTTGCTGTTTCAAAAACTCACCATCCATAACTGAAGCAGTCATACATAGGAATTAATTTATGTTCAAGAATAGAAGAAGTGTGTTGACACCTCACTTTCTTGACAGAATTACACTGTGTAGGTTATTACCTCTTGAATCTCTTTTTCCAGAAGTTCTACTCTCTCTCGAAGATGTCTCCGATCCGTATCTACAGAAAGGAGTTCAAGCCGTATTGAGCTGCTTTCCCCTTCAGCTTGATGAGCCTTGATTTCCCAGTCCTCAGCTTGTGTATGAAGCATTCGGAACTTCTCTAACAATTCTTGGTTTTCTTTTTCCTAGGCAAAGCAGTAATACACTCTGCAATCATCAACATACCTTCAGAGAGCTTGGCCTTTTTTCACACCTATGAAATACTCCCCATATATTTTTCATCAGAAAGTAGAAACATTCTCCATTATCTTACTCCTCTTATCTTGGCAATTAGTAAAGGGCATCATTCCTTTTACAAGACCAAATCACAAACAAATGCTGATGGCACTGAGTTTCATTAAACAGAAGTATTGACATCTAGCTGCTACTAGTAAGTTTTAAGGCTCCCACATTAGAGGTTCTTTTGAACTTCTTGTTCAAGTTGTGTTGTTGAGGGTCACATTACAGAGATGTACTCATCACAGTATTTTTTTCATGAAATTCCATCAGAAGACCATTTTTGGCCATTTTTCCTATCATACTCTTGTTAATGTGTATATTACAGCAACACTTGAAAGACCCACCTGGCATAAGCAGCCTATAATGAAATTACAAAATTGCAAACTTCAGTGCTTATAAGATATGCAATGACAGAATAACTGCTGCCCAAAAATTTTAATTTTGCCCACCTGCAAATGTACATTATAAGACAAAGCTTAACCTTTCTTCTTTATTTAGCCCCATTCCTTTTTTCTCCTGTTCATTCAGTGCACAGCGGGATGAGCATACTGCTAGTAGGAATCAGATTTATTTAGTGAGGAAAACTACTGTTTGTGAAATTCTTCTGTATTTCTGGCACAACTTGGAAGGTACAGACAAAAATAGGGGCATTCGGATGCAAAAACTCACAATCAAGCAACTGAACACTATGCAGAAAAGTAAATTCTTGTCTCTGCAGACAACAGTCACATGTTGTGACAAATCCCTGAAATTAACCTTTCATAACTGGCAAATTAAATTCTACAGTTTCTTGGTACCTGACTTGAATGATTGGACTCCCATTCACCACATTTGTAGCTTTGGACATAATGACATATAGTTATAAACACTCTTATCAACTAAGCTACAAGAGTTTTAAATTGAAGGTTCAAAGCTACTGACCATTAGTTCTCCTCTGTGCTTCAGTTTATACTTATAAATTGTATTCAAATTTACAGACATTCATCTAGCCCAGGCAAATTGAAGTCAGATCAAAACTCATTCTTTTACAGCCAATTTCACATAAATTTGCCAGTTCATGTTGTCTTGACTACTTATTCAGTATTGATTCATATAGAATCAAGAAAAGTAGTCCACTTATTTTAAGTACTTATAAGATTTAGTACACACACTTCACACTTTTGAATCGAAGTAAGAGAATAAAATACATTTAGCAAGAGCACTGTTTTGTCAGGACAGCAAAAAGATTGAAATCTTATTGACCATGGAGAAAACATTCCAATATGCTATTTTTACAATGTCTTACAGAAGAACTACACCTACAATTTCTCTTTTAATTTTTTTTTTCAAATATGAAAAACTATAATTATGCTTGCTTGTTGTCTATAATCATAATAGAGTAATAGATATTTTACTTGTTGACTTGCTGAAACTCACAAAACTCAAGAAGTAAAACAACATTCAAATATTTGTTTGTCATTCACCAGTGTCATGGAGAACTGAAACATCAGTGAAATTCTGTGCACCAGAATTCAATCAAAGTTCTATACGAATTCACTACTAAAAAAGTATTGCAGATAAAGCAGGGGGAAAAAAAAAAAAGAAAAAGAAGAAGAAAAAGGAGGGGTAGTAGGTAAGGAGAGAACAGGACACAAAATTCCACATTTCTTAATTTGTTTACAATATCCTAACAAAACAGTGTTATATTCTAAACCTAATGACGTTACCAAAAACAGCAATGGGTGCCTACAGAAAAAGATTTACCTTTGAAGCTATCAGACTCTCAAATCTGGAAACTTCAGTTATATAATTATGCACTCTTGTTTTCATTTCTTCCTTTTCACGTATTGCATCTTGAAGCTCAGAACTAACAGCCTAAAATGATTACATAAAGGCAAAATAGTGCATTACAGGAAATGTATCTCTTTATATTACTGTATCAGACAAGCAAAGTAATTACATGTGCCCTAGATGTTATTCTTAAACTTTTAAGTAGTTTAGTCAAAATCCTTTGGCATCAGTAGGGTTCAAAAATACCCCCTATTGCCTTAGCTATAAAAGAACGCTTTCCAGGAAAGAATAAACACAGAACAATGTGGAACAATGAATATCATATCAATTCATAAAATCTACAGCTTTTCTGGCAGCATAGCTATAGCTGTTTGGAAAACCTGGTATACGCATGTTTGGGAGCCGGAAATTTTTTTAGCCACAAAATAAATCATTCCTGATGCAGGAAGGTTTTGTGTACTGAATCACTACAAAAACCAACTTTGTAACAAAAGAACATTACTTTAAAGTCAAATTGCAAGGTAAATTAACTAAATGTATTATTAAGACTGTGTTTAAATATCCAAAATACTTCAGGGAGTTTACTTGAGAACTTGGAACTGCTAACTCTGGCCCTCTCTGAGGTTCAGCTCTGTGTCCTCATGTATGAGAGCTAAAAAGACACCTACATTTTATCTTGACTATCAAATATGTTTCTTTTCACAGTATGTTAATATTAACAGCCTTTCTGTGTCTCTAACTTACAATATGCTTAATTCAGGCTGCTTGTGGTAGCCTTCCACAGCTACCTGGGAAAGATTTAGTCACTGAAGTTTGATATTTAACACTTCATCTTATTAGATGCCTGTGGAGGCATTTCTAATTTCAATAATATGCCCACATATCTGTATACTGTAACACAGGATTTACAGAAATGATCAGAGTACTACATCACATGGAATACCTTTCTGTAATACACATTTTAGCTCCAGACTCAGTAGAGTTGATTGAATGGAAAAACATGATTTAACAGACAAGGCATTTACAGTGATTTCAAATAAGCATTTGTATCTCAGCACCAAAATTGTACAAAGTATTTGAACCTTATGATGAGCAGCAATGGCTGTATTGTTATGCAAACTGAACGGGCAGTGAGGAGTTGCAACAAAACTTCAGGCAAGCTCTGTAAAGCAAATTCGCATACTAACTACCTTTTCTAATGTTTAACCTGATGAAACAAGTTTACTTACCCTAAAAACAGGTTTTTTTAGAAACTGCTCATATGCACATTCTCTTGCATGGTGACATCCACCTCATGCATTTGGAACTGGGAGACTTTCAGTGAGCAGTAATCAATTAGTGCACAAAACTCATTATTCCTCAGCACTTTGAATGAGGGATTAACAAAAGAGCGCACATTTCAGCCTTTCCCAGCTGCAAATCCCAGACTCAGAGAATTCCAAATAAGAACAAATGGAGCAATGATGACTAGGAAGCATGCATGTAGACATACACTACATATGCTGTTTGTGTTCTTTGGAAGAATGAGCCTAATACAACAGTGGTTGCTTTAACTCCTGAACCCTAGGGGACATCTCAAGATGCAGATCCCACAGTGATGACAATCAAACACTGAACCTCTCAACCACTTCTATTTCAGAGTTTTTATTTAACCTAAACCATCAACTTGAAGTAGTTCATCTTTCAACAAAACAAATCATGATACTCTAAGAAAACAGGTAATCCCTCAAGGCATTAAAGATTTTATTTCAACTTTGATTTTTATAACTGATAGAAATTTAATTTATGCACTAGTAGAATGCACCTTACAAAGAAAGTGTTCAGTCATCAGCAACTGAAAGGGATTGTATGCCTCTCTGCTGGAAGATTGACCACAAATACACACAAACTAACACTCTGAGCCCTGTGGGCAATCGTAAACCACTTCCCATCTACTTTTTAGCCTAAAGCTACTGACTGGCTAGCTGCTAGCAAGCAGTTACAACTCTGAACTACTAGAAGAAAGATTAAATTATTATGGAAAAATTAAATAATATAAAAGTACATAACAAAAATAAAAGATAAGGTTCTGCAAACTGTCAAATAAAGTACCTGAATGGGATCTCCACCAAAATAAATTATAAAAACAAATCTAACACACACACTCACATAAGAAATACATTCCCAAAAAAGCTGCAATATACAGCCAAATTCTAAGATACTACCTCACTAAGACACCTACCTTACCAAAGCAAAGACAATCCAATAAGAATGTTTTCTCCAGGCACCTTTGAATTCACCATCTAAAAACCCCACACTATTTTGACACAATGGAAAGGGAACCTCTACTATTTCTTATCAACTGTGCATCCTTATCCATTCCTGAAATCAGGAAACAAATTCAGACTATTCAGACTGTCATATCATAAAACAAATTTTCTTTAATCTAACTTGTAACCTTTAAACTATTCCATTTTCTCACCAGAATTAATCTTTCCCAATTAATCAGTAGAGCAGACTTCTTGTAGAGCAATGCAAAAAAAAAGGAAACTGACCTTGCCAGAATTGAACATTAAGCATCAGCCAATGCTTCTTTACAGCCACCATTATCAAGTTTCTTAGAAAATAAACATTAATATCTATATTCTAAACACCCTGATTTCAAAATGTGGCATAATTCACCAAATACATCCAATGCTTCATGAAGGTGATGGATAAAACTAAATAATCACTATGCACTAGAATGTATTCTGATGAACTAACAATATTCTTTTTTCCTCTCTATATGTAATCTTTTAGTAACTACTTTTTTTTTTTTTTTTTAAAGCAATAACTGGCAACTATGATGCGATATAACCAAGTAAGAAAATTTCATTATAAGAAAAGCAATTATGTCCTCCATTTATTTTATTTAGGTTTCTTTTTTAACCTGGGGAAGATTGACTAAAAGGAACGTTTGTTTATGTATCTCTTATTGTACTGACTGTGCATTTACAAATTCCTGGCTTAATTGCTTTTGTATTTTCTGCCCAGTAACTGTTACTACACCAGCATTCAAGAAATGCCAACAATTAATTATATTAAATCAAAGTCAAGATGCAGCAGTAGTCATGTACAATAAGCAAACAATAAATAATTCAATACTTCAGCAGTATGTTCTATCTTCCTACCTGGTTTTCTCTGGTCATTGTAGCCAGATCATCTTGTAGTCGTCTATTTTCTTTCAGAGCTATTTCCTTTACTCTTCCTGTTTCTGCAATCTCTGTGTGGGATGCATCAAGTTGGCGACGCAAGCTAGATATCTCACGGTCTCTGCTGCTCAAGAGGTCCTTCAGCTGGCTATTGAGGGAGAGATTTTTGAAAATCTTATTTAAGATGCCCCTTCTCTATACTGCATACTGCTGAAAATTATCAAACATGGATTTTATATACACAGAAAGTTTTTTGTTGTTGTTTCCTTCTTTTCTTTTTAAATGGTACAATTCTCACTCTCCAAGACTGACAAACAAGCATAAGCTAAGCATGAAAGTAACTTAAGGGTGTGACATTAAGATATACAAATAATAAAAATGATGCTTAAAAATAGACAAGGTGGAAAGATCAGATGAAACAGCTAAAAACTAAATAAATATATTTTATTAAAGACTACACTTGTAGCTTAAGCTTGAAGAATTAACTTATCAAAATTAGAGATCAGCTCCTGAGTTTTAACTGGGTAAATCTAATAATCTAATAATACCTAATGGAGTACTTGGAATACTAAAAAGCCAGTTCTTAATTGAGAACAAAGAAATGTTACCGATTTGGTAAAGTAAGAATAGACAAACAATTGCTAATTTGTAATTGCTGTCTTAACAGTAACCCAGCACCCTGCCATTTAATTGCAGGAGGAGCCTCTTTAACAGTTCTATACATTTTACTCTATTGCATATGCTCATTTACTTGTCCTAAACAGAATTAAATTATTTTCACTGAATTAATTAAAATTATCATCTACTTTCACTTTAAGGCCACTGAAGACACTTACTGGAGAAAGCCAAACCACCGAAGAAACTCTCTGAAGAAAGCTTTTACTTACTCTGTTGACGACTCCAGCTCAGAGAGCGTTAGCCGTAAGTGAGTAATTGTCTTTTCCTATGAAAATAAAAGCAAAAATTGTCCTAGGTATTACTGCAACATTCTAGGATAGCTCAAGTTAAAAATCTTTATATTTAAACCTTTATTTTAACAATCATCAATAAGTAATTGCATCTTTGCACATTCAGATTTTCAGGGTTTTTTTCTGTATTGAGAAAGGCTTGTCACGTCACCAAAAATAGATGGGAACTCAATATATACCTCGAACTACAAAGAGGGAAAAATATTTTTACTTCCTTGAAGTGTTCAGGGAACATGTTAACAGTAATAATTAAAACTTTATTAAGTTGGCAAATGACTTCATATTGCCTAGGTGTAAACACGGAGCTCATGTGGTGCCTAGAGATCTACACAGGCTTTGCTTTCAAAGCAAAATGCCTCCCTGAAACTTAACAGCTTTGAATATCCCAAGATAAGAGCATAGAGTAGTACTTTCACTGCACATACCTTATTAGCTAAGTTGTCGTCTAAGCACGCAATTCTTTCTGTTTTTTCATCTACGGTTTCTTGAAGATTATCCTTTTCTTTGTCCAAAACAGTAATAGTACTTCTAAGCACATTGACTGCCTCATCCTGTGAAGTGCTCTTCTGGTTTAACCTATCTATAAATATCACAGTAAGTATTCTTGTCTTTAAAATAGGAAACAAAGGTAAAAATAACTAGTGATCACCTATTTTCTCCTCTAGCTTTACAATTTCTTCTTGAGCTGACTGAAGTTCATCCTTTTTGAGAGACAACCGGTGCTGTAAGTCTTCCACAGTTCTCTGGAGTTGTTCATTTAGGAGGCTGGAAAATCAGTGCACCATTGAAAGACATTTGAGAACTCTTAGTTTGGGTTCTTCAACTTGCGTCTCTTGAACTGCTTGAAATTCTGTAACACTTCCAGCGTAACCTCACGATGGGACTGTAAGACAGCTAAGATTGCTGAGACCAAAACCACCTCCTTGCTTTGGACCCCTGCAGCAAATCCACTTTAACACCATTCCAAAATGGAGCCATGGAACCCCTGTGAAACTACCACAGTAAACTGAAACATTCACATCCTCTGACTTTTCTTAGTAGAAAAGCTTTTCATTTTTCCAGAATACAACGTAGCTGCAGGTAAAAGTTACTTTTACTCTATTTAGGATTAAACTTCAGAGGACAAAAAGATGCTCTACACAGGGCAATAACAAAGTGGATCCAAGCGCTAAAATGACTACAGCCCTTTTCCTTATCTCCTGCTTTTTAAAGGTAATGATGCTTTCTGCTAAAATTGTAAGGAGTCTCACAAGATACTCCAGCTCTACGAATTATGTCACAATTTTACAAACAAATACACTAATGGTTTTACCTACAAATAGCTTTTGAGTAATTTGGAGCATTATATAAACTCTGAGGATTGCTTCTGAACTTCAGCTCTTTACAGTTGTAAGTACAGAATAGTACTGCTTTGCCTTATATATGTTTTGGGGAGTTTTTTCAAGGGGGTTGGGAGGGTATGTTGTAGTGTGTAGACAGACACTGGTTTCACTTGTAAAACATCCAAAACATCTAATCTAACAGCATAACCTTACATCCAAGGCTCTCATTTTTACCTAAGTCAAATGCAAGATTTTGAAATGTCTGCCCAGATTTATTCCAATTTCTATTTCCACATTTTGTAAGGCCTTTTCTTGTCTCTGAATGAAATACCTGATGGAAGCTCTGAAACAATTTGAAAGACCAGCAGTGATCCTTCAAGTTTAAGCAGGCCTCCACAAAACATACACGTATACTTAATCCTGCAATTTTGAGCAAATAAAATCCCTTCTGACTGGACCTAAGGGTCATAAGATGCCAACATGCAAAAATGAAGTATGCTTTGGATAGTACTAGCATATAAAAGAGAGACAAGAAAAACAGCTCAAACAAGATGCCATTACAGAAAGGCTCTCCATGAACTACTCAACTGTCAAGTATCAGTAATGCTTAACATAAAATCGTCAGTACACACCTGTGTAAAACCAGCACAATTTGGTCCTACTCCTACAGTTTGTAAACACACCTGTCTTCATTTTAGCAAACTGCATTCCTAAGTACTTTGAGAACTTTCTGTTCTGCTACATTCATAAACAGAAAACACAGTTGTTGGAGGAAACCGTTCTAAAAGGAGAAATTTTTCATTCACAGTTTGTGATAAAAAGCATCAATATTTCTGCTCATTAAATACATCCAGAACTTTGGTATAAAAAGCTATACCAATGTTTTTTCCTTATTCATATTTACATTTTCTTAAGATAAATAATGTATAAAGTGTTTTTTTTTTCAACTACCTCAAGGTCCTTCCTAAGATCTTATCTCTGCTATGTTTGTAGAGTAAAATTATGTTACTGTCACTGAAAGATGATAAGTTTTTTGTATTAGACTTACTGAAGTGAGCAAAGTTCAGCCTTAAATTGAGAAGAATCATCAGATGTCTGCATAAGTTTATTGGACTTCAATTTTAATTCATTTTCCAAAGACTTTATTCTTTCTTTCAGGATAGAGATTGTACTCTTTAGTTCGCACCTTTCCAACTCAAACTGCAATTAAAAAAATAAAAAGACATCGCTGAAGAAAGCTACCACTACTTGGCTCTTAAGTAAATCAAAGTTGAAAGGAGATGAAAAAAAACAAATTGCTGGGAAAAAAAAAATCTATCCTATTGTAGAATAAAAACTTATTTGTTAAAAATGGACTTACTTGTTGAATATTATTTTCCAGTTCTGAAATATCATGCTGCATCTTTGATTTTTCAAGGTTAGCCGCTTCTTGCTGAATCTAAGGTAAAAGCATTGGTTTACATGTAATAAATAAGATACAGATTTTCACTATGCGTAATTTAATAGCTGAAAATACACCACTGCAGTTATATATACACACACAAGATTTTTACAATAATAAATTTAAATTTTGGTTAATTACAATGCAAATTCACATTTGGCTCTAATTTAATTAATATTTGTGAGCTGTTGCAGAAACATTATAGAGATACAGGGCAATAGAAAGGTCACAAGAATGTAGCACGTAGAGTTTTGAAGATGGTTTTTCTATCACAAAGAAGCGCATACAGAAATATTCTGTGATATCTGCACTCTACACACAAAGTGTGTACTTGCCTTCTGACACTTCAAGCCCATTCCTCTACTGCCACCCTACCTAGGAACTGAGATTACCAGGATAACTCAGACAATTCATCCAGTTCTGCTAAGTGAATTTGAAATCAGATAGGAATAGAAGTTATTCAAAACTGGAATTTTGAAAACTGGAACTGACAGTCATACACAAATATGGTAGCATTTAAAAACCTTTTCTTACTGTAAAGCAATGCAGCTAAAAAAGTCTCACCTTTAACTTTTCTCTTAGACTTTCCTTTTCTGTCATCAGTCTTCTAAAGTCTGCCAGTGCTACATCTCCATCTTCTCCCACGTGACTTTGAGAAACTAAATGATGCTTTGCTTCTCTTCTCAGCCTGTTTAATTCACTCTGAGACTTTAAAAAGTTTTTACTTGTAAGCATTTGTGGATTGCAATTAATACAATGTATACACTGACAAAAAGAAAGTTCCAGTGCCGTTACCACAATAGAAGTGCTATTATAGTCTACTTCCCTAGATAACTAAAACACATTAAAAATCACACAAGAGCACAACAATTTATAATGCCAACATACTTGGAATCCTTCTGCTGTTCCAAGCATAGACTAACTTCACTTCATTTTCTCATCATTTAGTTACAACTTCTACCTAGCCTGTATCTCTACCCAACTTTCTTATGCTTTCTTTTTATTTTCTCCTGATCATTCTCATTTCCAAATGCCAGTAGAATGTTAGAATGACTCTGAAGTTAATACATCAATGTCAGAACACACAATTTTTTTAGCAAGTAAAAAAAAAAAGTATATGTAAGTAAATATTTTATTGTTCTTCATATTTTCTAGTAGGTCTATACTCAATTTCTATTACGATGTGGAGCTCCTTCTTTTTGAACAAGCAATAGTAAACAAAGTTTGAGTTGGATATTTCAATGCCAATTATAAAGATCTTCTTACCTGCTCATAAAGAATATTCAATCTGTCTCTTTCTGCAGTCAGTAGCTTGACGCTGGATTGAATTTCTATCATATGCTTTTCAAATCTGTCTAACATGGACTGTAGCTCATCTCTTTCTCTGGTAATCAATCTCAGATCTTCACTCTGCAAAGTGATTAATAAAATTGAGGTTAAAATATACTAATTAGATAATCGGACATATGTTACAAGAACGAACGAACTCACATGATTAGGAACATATGAAAAACATACAGAATATATTTTAATTCCAAGAAACGTGGCATTACTAGTATAATTTAACCATGAGAACAAACTGTTAACCAGAAAAAGCAAACTGGCTAACAATAATACTTCAAACTTCGCTTCTTTAACATCTAGTTCTATTTATTTTACACAAATTGATCAATATATAAATCAACACTACTGTAAAATGTGAATAGAGAAACAAAAAGCAAGCTCACTGAAGTTATTCTCAGTTAAATTTTATGCTAAGAATACAATGTAAAAAAGTAAAAAACATTTATTGCTATTGAAAATATATTTGATAGCTCCTTAAATCATCTACAGTAACTCCATAATTTTTCCAGCCTGTATTGACAATAGGAACATTACCTTCTCTGGAGTCCTACGACTTGGGCTAGGTCTTCGTTTTATCATTTTTTGAAGATACTCTAATTCTCTTTTATAATAATCTCTGTCATCTTCTAAAGTTTTGACAAATGCATCTAGACGAGATGGAGATTTGTCTCCTAGAGCTATACCGTATTCTAATCTCATTCTTTCTATTTCTAGGACAAGTTCCCGTTCTGCAGAAAGAGAAATAAAAAAGAACTGCAAAGAAAGCTTAATTTCATCAGAGACATTTGCATTAGGAATGGACTAACATCCAGCAACTGCCTGGGCACAGGATCTGCTGAAAACAATGCAGGGATCCGGGTTCACCTATTGCCTACACATGAATCAGCAGTGTGCTTTGGATCCAGTTGAGGCCTAGCAGTAGTGTGGGCTGCATCGGTGGAGATGGAGACCGAGGGATGTGATTATTTCCTTTTACTTAGGGCTTAGTAGGTCACATTTACAATATTGTACCCAGTTTTGTTCCCTGTGGTACAGGAAGGATCTTTATAAACTTGGGTGAGTGCAGGAAGGGCCTCCAAACTAGTCTTGTAGCAAAACACTTGCCCTGTGAGGAATAGCTGAGGGAACAGGGTTTGTTCAGCCTATAAAACAGCTCAAGAGGGCCTTAAGAGCTGCAGAAAATACCAAGAGGAAGAGTTTACAGACAAGATGGAACCAGTTTCTTCACAGATGTGGGTAAACAAGGGAAAGCATCAAGCTGTTTTTACAAGCAATAGAAAGAAAACATTTCTACACTGAGCATAAATAAATTTTGGAAGTAGTTGCCTAACAAGACTGAGGAATCTCTGCCCTTGGAGGTTTTTAAGGTCTGGACAAAGGTCTTAAGAAACAGTCTGAAGTCACTTGCTCAGAAAGACTGAATAAAAACAGTATGGGATAAAAGAAATTACTTTGTAAGAAACTGCCTTATTACTATTAGGATGTCCCATAGGACTACACTTCAACTGTAAAAGCTGAATTTTCAAACATGCTTTTGAGATAAAATATTTCACTTAATGATAGAAGATATACAGACTACTTTTTTCATTTATCTATTAGTGCTTTTAGTCCTGCAGTGTTATTAATTATGTCTTAAATATATAAGACATTCTACTTCAAAAATTAAAGGAATCTACATTTTATCATTTACCTTTTATTTCAAAGTTCTCTGTTTTTTCTGTCAGCCTCTGTTTCTCTTGTTCAAGCTGGTTTAGCAGTAGTTCGAGATTCGCTTTATCATCTGCTTTTCCAAAGAGTTCTTCACTCAATCTCTCATTCTGACGACGACATGAGCACAGCTCCTGAAGTAAAAAATATTACAAAAATTTAGAAGTGCCAATGGAGACATGGGAAGAAAAGTAATCCTGATGTTTTATGTAACATTTGTTTTAACTGAATATTGTTCCCTTTAGGCAACAATTCTTACTGATTTGATTTAAGCATTGCTCCTGACACAGTTTGCAATCAGCAGTGAAACAAGCAAGACTCACGCTTGCTTAATTCAGCTGCTACTCCAAGAAACCAAACCAGAAGTACAGTAAGATGTAAACATAAGAAAAAGTAGTAACTAAATCAATAAATATTTTTAAATGGAACTCAGTAATATTATTGGTGTTAAAACTAGATCACAATGCTGTATCTCAATCAACTTAATCCTGCAGCTATTTAATGCAGCTGGCATTTATAATTTGGTGCTCTGAAAATATTTTCATGTTTTCAAGTTCACTACAAACACTAAAAACAAGACACTGCATGCAACCAGTACACAATTTATTACACACTGAAAATAGATGTTTCAGGAATATGTTATACTGACATCTTTCACCTGCGCTGTTAAGCTTTGTTTCTGATTAGTAGTGTGTAGTTATTCATGTATTAAGAGACAAAGTAGATCCTATATTAAAACCTCCTTGGATATCATTATTAAATTTTAGTAAAAACGGTCATGTCATGGCAATTAAATTTCCAATAGCAAGAATAACAACAAAATTTATAGTAAGGATAGTAAAGCATGCTGCCTACAGAAATTTCTCTCCACTTATTTTCACATTGTGTAGCTTCCTCAGCTCTTACATGTATTACACTAGTTTGATAGAATTTTGAGACACTGCAGAAGTTCCATTTAAAAAACAATAAATAATAAAAAGCAATGCTGATTTTTATGAAAGAAATGTCAACGACAGTATGATAAAAGTATTACGAAAGAAGACTTAAACTGGAAGAATTTTTACTTACTGATTTAAGCCTCGTTATTGTGTCTTCAAGATCCTGTATTTCATTGTCCTTTCTTTCAATTTCCTTCTGTCAACCAAAACAAACTTTATTTTTAAAGTTACGTATTCAAAACACCAATTCCTTTGTTATAAAAATTAAGGAAATTGGATTTTTTTTAAGAAACGAAGTATAATTAGCTCCTTGTAAAGGCAAAATTTTAGATTCACACATTCATTGAAGCTCCTATTAATTGAATGTGCATAACACTTGAACCATAAACACTCATTTTGAACAGAACAACTAAATGAATCACTCCATGACTCCTCATAAAAAAACTATCCATACACTCCTCACTGTTGCAAACATCTATTACGTATCAACAGTATAAATAGCTCTGAATTTTATACTGAGCTAACAGAAGAAGGAAGACAGACTGCTTCTTAACTGAATTCATCTCACCTAACACAGCAGTAAGACATAACTGCTGTAATTAATCTTTTAGTGAGAAATTCTGTATATGACTAAGTAAACCAGAAAAAATATTTTCAGTGCTCCTATAGGTATCCTGTTGCAGCTAAAAAAGCCAAAATTGAGGCAAATTAGAGAAATTTCACCTAAGAGCTTAGAAGATCCTACCCATAAAACACTAGTGATTACCTTTGCTTCTCCTATTTCTTTATCTGCAGTTTCAAGCACAATTTCCTTATGTCTCTCCAACTGCTGTGCCAAATGGTCTATTTCATTCAGTTCTTGACAGAGTTCTTCATTTTTATTGCTTAAGTGCACTACCTCACTAGTCACATTTTTTTTTGTGTCCAACAGGTCTTGAATGCGATTTTCAAGTTCTTTGTTTGATTGCTGAAGATATTCAACCTAAAAGATATTTTTCATTACAACTTTAATATATATTATTTAATTAGGTAGTATATTTTAGAAGATGAGGAGGAGTGTCTGCTATCTCTATATCTCCATATTAAAAGTTATATCCTGTTAATAATGTCTAGACTTCCTGTTCTTAGAAAACAGTATCAACGTGCAAAAATATTATTTTTAGGAATGTACATGGTGAAAGAATTCATTACTACACTGATCTTTACATAGGCTCAAAAATCCAAGGTTTATCCTGAAAACAAAGTACTGAAAAGCAGATATCTGTACAGAAACCTGCCTTGGGCACCAGTCCAGTAAACTCAGTGCACTCTGTGTTTCCCCAGATTTCACAAGACTTGAAGACAGTTCCTTCCATCTATCTATCCAGTATATTTGCTAGGCTTGGATTCAGTTAACTCATTCACAGAAAAGGAAGCTTTACAGATCACTTTCCCAAGATCTATCTTGCTTTCAACACATCAGCATCTCGAACAAAACATTCCAGAAATCCTGTTCTAGACACACTGTTTTTACCATTATGCTATTCTATGCAAGTGTAGTTAAAAGAGGCAGAGTAGGAAGAAAAAAAAACCATCTCAACCTATCAGAGGTGCTGCACTTCCATCTCCACATAACTTTCCTCAGTACTCCAGAAAGTTCAGTTCTAGGCACAGAACACAGTCTAGGTCTTTTCATGGTTGTAAATGCTACTATATAGAATCGATCCATTTACTGTCAGAGATTAAAAGTGGTAGATTGGCACTAAGCCTGAATAAATAGCTTTGATCTGCCTTATGCCCCAAATCTGCCTTATGCAGCTCTGAAAATATAGTATAGAAGCCTGGGCTCACTTTGTATAATCAATTTATCTTCAGCACAACTTACTAATTCCGGATCACTGAAAACAGCAGTACTGCTTCCAAGTCATAGCTCATACCATATTTTTGCATCACTGAACCTAAGCTAATGAGCTCTGCAGCCTGGCTCTCTGTGACCCTGTATATGACACACCATCAGTAACCAAATGGTAAATAGGTAGTATAAATTCAGAGATAGACTATACTTCATCTGTACTCCACTCTGCCTTATATTAGATTCAGAAATCTGAGACCAATAATGTATGCATGCAAACATGTGCAGTAAACTCAGCATCTTTATTCCTAAGCTTATTCTTTTATTGCAAGTCTGTGTTGCAATAAAGGTGAGGACCATTGGAATTAAGAGAATTTCCCACTATCTGATGCGATTACCTGCAGACCTCTTGGTAAGTATATATACCAGAGTTTGTTGCAAAGACATAAATAGAATGTACATATATACATTTTTAAAATAAAATTAATTTCAAACTCAGTCAAAACACTGTATGCAGAAATTTCCTGAATAGTATACACAGATGTGCATACATTACATTCTTCCCAAAAAACAGGCTGTTAAAAAATTTATTTAGACAAGAAACTCTACCACCTAAAAAGCCAAGTTAAATTTGTTGATTTTTATCTAATACTGAAATTTCTTTTTGAAAGAAGATCTAAAAGTTGTTTGTGGATTGTTTTTTTTAATTGCTAGTATTTCTCATTTTGACTAATGAACAGCAATTCATTCATTACCTGCAAATTTAATTGAGCAATAAGTTTCTCATTACTTTTACTTCTTGATTCCAGAGATACAACTTCATGAGAACGACCACCATCCAATGCTAGCATTAGGCGTTCTATTTCTTTGTCTCTAAGCTCAACCTTCGAAGAAAAAAAACCTTCATCATCTTCTATAGCATTTAACAGTACCTTTGTTCTGATATGCCCCTATGCAACGCTCAGTAAGAAGAGATGTCTCTAACAATTAAATTTTTAAATTTAGTATTCAATTTTCTTGAATTCTGCATTTTTCTGAACAAAGCGATTTCTCTGAAATGAAACTAAACAAATAAAATTTATGGGAGAAAAAAGAACCACCACCAACAAAATGGAACAAGTTCTAGCAGATTATTTTCTTGGAGAGCAACCAAAGAACTTAATTCACCAAGATGTGACTGAAAAAATGATGTTGGGGTTGGGTCCCACTACTCCTCAGATATTGAAAGATCCATCAAGATACAAACACCTGATGCAATTCCCTCATTTATACAGATTGTATTGCCTTTTTGATCCAATCTAATTAAAGAGCTGTAAGATCTGCTGTCCATGAATTAACCTCTGTAAAATAAAATGAAATATAACCAGTCCAAACAATAAAAAAATTATCCTAATGTAGCCGTAGATCAAATTAATTTTAACCGGTGGATATTTCTACACTAAAAAACCCTAAATGTACAAAAAATTGAGCTTATAATCATCAACTACAGTTTATTTAGTGTAACTTTTATGTAGACAAATCTATAAGCAAAGGAGGTGGGGTAGCATTTTAATATTGCTGCTGTCTTCAAAGCTACAAATTCAAAACAGCATAGAAGAAAGAAAGAATTAGAATAATTATATTTTATAAAACCTACAATGGTTAAAATAAAAATAAAATAATAGTATTTTATAACACCTACAAGGTTAAAATAAAAATAAAATTATAATCAAGGCTATTACAAATAATTAAAACAAAGAAAGAAAATAAAATAGTGAAACAAATGTAAACATACCTGCTTGCTGTAATTCTTCTTTCCGTTTTCTGATATCTCTAGTTTTTCCTGTAACTGTGTCACTTCTGACTGAAGTTCTTGTATTCTGAAACATAGCAATATCCTGTTTATCTAGATTCATGAATGATCCCTCCATGCACAATAATTCAATACTGTTATTTTCTCCTTGCTCTCGAATGGAAATATTTTACCAAAAAGAAAACTGTTTTGCTGATACAAAATATTAATATAGAAGCTATATTAGTTTGAGATATTGTGGCAGGCCAATCTTGCCTGGCTGTCAGACCTTCACTTATCCTCTCACTCCATCTCCTGAAAAAGACAGTGGGATAAAGACTTGAGGAAGATTAATTTGTTAACAATTGAGTAGGATGATAAGAAACAGATAAGAAACAAAGACAACTCAAGACCATCTTCCACCCACCTCCATTTCCTAGGCTCAACCTCACCCTTTCATTCCCCTCTATTCTACCTCCTATCCTCAAGAAGTTGCCCCCCACAGCCAACTCCCCTAGCTTTATTGTTCAGCATGTCACCAAAGGGTATGGGATATCCCTTTGGCCAGTCTGGATCAGCTATCTTAGTGCTGTCCCCTCCCAGCTCCTCACTGGCAGGGCAGCAGAGAAAGCTGATACGTCCTTGGCTCTGTGTAAGCACCAATGGTGTTACTGACACTGTTCTCATCCTAAATCCAGAAGACAGTACCATACTAGTGACCAGGATGAAAACTCATTCCATCCCAGCAAAAAACAGGATATTGTTCTTTAAAAACTATTACTTTCACTGAAGCACCATTAGTTTGGCTGATGGGCTCAGCTCTGGCTATTGGTGGGCTCATTTTGGAGCCAGCAGAGGGCAGCTGTGTCTGGCACAGGACAGCCCTTGATCTCCTCTCACAAAGGCCACCCCTGCAGCTTCGTCACTAACAAAACCTTAACAAGTAAATCCACTTACAGGCGTATTCAGAATAAGAAAAATTTTATTGAACCTTTTGTAATGTAGGTTTCCAAGCCAAAAATAGTATTACATAAGTGAGAATATGCTAGCCTTCCACTATAATCACAAAAGATCAGTTTCCCCCTGCACAAAATTATGTTCTGTTTTTTTTCAGAATCCCTTACTTAACATTCAGCGTAAGAGTAAATCCTGTATAGAAATCTTAACATAAATCCTTTAAGGATATAAGTAGCATATTAAGTATCATTGCAATTTCAGCAGAAGCAGCAAGGTCAATCACCAAGTAAAATCCTATTTAAGAACTATAAAGTTCTCAAAACATCATAAAACCTTTTTCCTCAGGCAAATTTGAAAGGCAGAAGGAGGTGCTGAAGTCACAGCAGCAGATATTTAATGCCTAACATTGAAAATTCTTTAGATTACCGATTATCAGCCACCTGAAGAAGGTCTGCAACATACGGGTCCTCTGGCTGAGGCACTGGGTAGGCACTAACAGCTGATGGTGGGACAGGCTGGTCTATCTGCATGCGTTGACGCCTGAATGGGATGTTTCTTTTTCTGCCACCTGAAAAAGCCCCAAGTCAAACAGCTATTATGTGATGTTAAAGCAAGAGGGTCTTCACCTTTTATACAAAGTGCGATTCTATATTTATCCCACTGCTTCTGAACTGACACAAAGCATCATTTTAATCTGAGTGAAGTAAGTTAATAAAACTTGTACAATCCAGAAATCATTCCTGCAGATAGCATTGGTTTTGTTGAAGTCCAGTTTTAAAATCAGGAAATATGCGAAATCTAGTACAAGTCATTTGCTCCAGTGCTTAAGTCTCAAAATAGTCTAGAGGTTGAACATGCTGAAGCTGTAACTGATTTACCTTCCTTTCAGCTTAAACACTATCTAAATGCATTAAGAGTCCTTAATAATAATGGCACAAATAAAGCCTTTGCCTCTTTGAAGAAAACAAACGTGCATTCAGCAACAGAGAGAGAAAACAATACAGAAAACAGGAGAATTAAGGAGCAAAGGACAGGAGCAGATTTACTAGCAAAAGAAAGGACACAGAAGCAGCAGTTATTTGGCCCTGTTCCCCTAGCAGTTAATGAAAACAACTAAAAAAGGTAAGGTAAAAGATCACAAAAAACATTTTGCTTTCAAATTTAAGAGCCATTTCATGACTAGCTTAAACTTCTGTGATGTTTACAAGTATTCCTTTTCCTTCTATCCTACTATCATTTGTATCATAAACACATAGAGCAAAGTAGGTTATTTGGTTGCATAGTAGCACTATATTTAAAGAAAGCAAAACATTTTACAGAGGGAAAAAATACTCTCCATCAAACAAATATGTATGTAAAGTTTTTGATGCTATAGTATGGAAAAATCTTATAAGAGTGGTGGACAAGTAGTTAAGTATGAGGGAAGAGAGACAAAAGTGTAACAGCATCTTTGAAGCAAAAAACATAGAATATAGAAAGGTATGAAAAAGTATGATTTTTATTTTCACCCCACTACATTATTTCCCTCAGGTGCCAAAAAGATGGGTAAGATCAAATGACTTTGAAGGAAAGAATTAATTTTACAGTACACTTCCCGTTATCACCCTTAATTTGAAGCAAAATGAAGAAAAATTGAAAAAATGGGAGAAGTAATTAACCCAACAGTAATATCCTCAGCATCTTAAGTTAGTAAGAAAAAAAATACCTTTTAAAGGTGTAAGCTTTCAGAGGGTTGGACTATTTGTCTGCAGACATACTTTGCATCTTGCCACTTTTTGATCTTGGTTAATAAAAATCTGAATTACTCACTTGCATAGCATCAGTTAGCTATCAAAACACTCAAGTATATATTAGAAAAAAAGGAGTAGGTTAGGAGTAGCATTAAAAAATGGAAATAAAAACCAATGAGCAACAGCACCTTTCAGCCATGCTTTAACTTAATAAAGCCTTTAACTCTAATGAATTCAAGTTTGTATACAAATTGGTCCACAGCACAACTGATGAAATTTCTTGCATACAGAGAGGAAGACTGAATTCAGAGCCCAAAGTTTCAAAAGTTAATGTCATTCTATTAGACAGTGTTATTTTACTTCAGTAATTTCTCTTCCTATATGGAAAAAATATATATATAGTCTGAAGAGCCAAAAAAAGAAAGAAAAAAGCCAAGAGAAATATTACCTGGGATTATTTTCACTCACCAGGAGTTTGCACAACTGCTTGCAGATTCTTCTCTTGAAGCTGCTGAATTTTTTCAGTCTTGGCTTTGCTCTCTTTTTCCAGCAGTTTAATTTTATGCACATACTGGTTATTCAGGAATCTCAAGTCAACTGCTTCATTTTCAACACTCCTTAAGCTGGCTTTCAAGTCTTCAAGGGAGAGAAAGAGCAATTTTATCTTTTTTATTCACTAAAGTAGGTATGCAAATGATGCTTATATTCTTTTTCCACAACGTAAAGTTTCCAAATACCCACTGGTAAGTTTACATATGTACACATAAGCACTAATACATTTCTTTTAATTACAAAAGGAATATCTTCACATGAGCCTTAATTAAAGGCACCAAAATTAATGACCACTTATAAGTACAACTGCAGATAAATGATTCTGCAGATTTGTCCACACTTTTGACGCAAAAGAATTTTGAAGAAGTCTCACAACTTTTATATTACCTTTGATATGACGATCAGATTGCTCCTTCAGTTTTAATATTTCCAAATGCAGCTCATTATTTTCCCTGGTAAGTTTTGCATTCTCAGTTTTATACGGTTCTATAATAGCATCATAATTGCTGCATTCTTTTTCAATTTTTCCAGCAGATAACTTTGCACTGCGCAGGCTCTCTGTTGTATGAACAAGGTCACTAGAATCAGGGACCAACAGACAAGATCACAATGTTATCAGCCTTCAAACCGTTGCTTCAAATATTTATTAAAACCTTAGAAACAAAACCAGACCATGTTAAATGTAGAACACATAAGTTGCAAGAAAAACAAAGAGAACATTAATGTAAGAAAAATGCAAAGACAGAAATCATTTGCTTAAAAAAAGTATATAGGAAAGGACGGGACAAATATGCAAAATAAAGATATGGAGAAATTCACAACTGATAATTCAATAAACTCGCTTCTATCTGCATTAGATGTTAACTATTACTAGAACCAAATTTTTTTTGCATGTTTAGTCAGATATAACTAGATTACTATGGAAATTATTATGTTCCTATTGCATCAAAGCCATGAAACATCAGAAACGTTACAAAGGTGATAAAAAAGTTTGTTCTTCTATTATTATCCTGCGCAACAGCAAAGACAGCAAACTTGAACTTCTCCAAATGGAATAACAAACAAGGGAGTTGTGAATGTTTTATGCTCAGGTATAGTAGAGAGAATGGGGATTATTATACAACCAGCTATAAGTGCGTCTTCTAATTATCAGCAGCAACTGCTTTGGCTAATTGGTAAGGTTAGAAAACTGAATTTTCCCTTGATTTCCCTTGATGAAAATTCCCTTGATTTCCCTGATCCTTAGAGACTATCTTAACAATATAACCAATTTAAAATAAATCTTAAGATGTTCTTACAGCTTAAGCAAAACCACTTCATCATATGCTGAAACCAAATGTTAGCCTTGAAATAAGATTGTTTGAAAATAATCTTTAGGCTAACTCTTTTCTCTCACATTAAAAAAAAATAAAATAAAAATCAAACAATACCTACTACACAAATACAACGTTGTTTTTTTTTTTTTTTTTTTTTTTTCCAAGAAATCAATGAAGAATCTCTTTTGGAATACCTAAAAAGCTTTTCCACCAAAGGTAAACTCTCCACTCCCAAGGGCTGCCGGTAGCCCAGCTGATCCAGACATTTCCTGAGGTTAACAAACTTCCGCTCCGCTGCTGTCGTCATTGTAAGTGCAGCCTTTGTAAAACTGAGGGAAGAAAGGACACCTGCAAAATATCGTCTGTTACGGCACTTGTCCCTTACAGCACGAATAACACAGAACCTAGTAATGGAAAAGCAATTTACTGTATAATACATAAGCATATTCTGAAAAATAAGGTAAACTAAAACAGAATCATAAGGCAACCAAAAAGTTTTCAGCATATTTGCATGTATTTTTTTAAATATTTGCTTTGCCAATTAATTGTTTATCTCTGAGCATGTCCTAATATCAGAAAGCATCCAAGGCCAGGTTGGATGGGGAGTGTGATCTAGTGGGTGGCAACCCTGCATATAACGGGGTTGAACTGTGTGAAACTTCAGGTCCCTTCCAACATAAGTCATTCCATGAGTTTTAAGAGTATAAACACATGAGTTTTCTTTCTAGACTGCCTTGTGAAAAGATCTCTCCATAAAGATGACAAAGAAGTAGATTCCGATTTCTTGAATCAGCCATCAGAGTAGCGCCCTTCATAATCCAGACTGTTCAAAAAAAAAACCAAACCTGTATACTTTTTATCTTTCATATCTGAATCTTGTTTTTAGAATTTACGAGGCAGTACTTATATTTCTACAGTAATGTTAAGCATTCTTGAATTAGGAACAGCAGTGATTGTGTTACTGTACCAAAATCTTGTCTCACAGATCCATCTTACTAAAGAAGTAAGGTGATAACTCTTAAGCCCATCTTCTCCTTAAGAACTAGATGAGTTAAAAAAATTAATTGCATTTGTTCATCAGGCTTGATTTAAGAGCATATGTTTCGGAAAGCAAAAGGATTTTTCTACTAGTTCCTTGAGAGAGTTTCACAGTGATGGCAAGAACAAAACTGCTTTACAACAAGTAAGGGAGTAAAGCTTTTCTACAGCAACCATGCTTGTTTGTGCTCCAGTATAACCAAGAAATGGATACAGGATCTTGTTAAATCATTGAAACCAACATTTAAGTGAGATGTGATTCCTAAATGTAGTCTAGGATTAAGAGATGACAAGAACTTTTAGGATGAATCACTGTCACGCCTTTCTCCTTCCTCAAGATTGAGAAATTCCTATCAATTCATTATTATCACCTTAATTAAACAGGAGAAAATATTATCTGACACCGCCTAGAGCCACATCTGATAACAAAATTAGTCCAAGAAATGAGTTAGGTAATTCGTGCTGTAGGTCCAAAAGATGTAAAGGAGTTAAAACAACCAGAAGAGCTGTGTGTTGTTGCTTCAGAATGCTTACCAGACACTGGATTCTTTAAGGACAATAATCTTTGTACAATCTTTCGCACAGGAGAATGGAATTGGAAAGACATTACAGTAGTCTGCAGTAGCTGCAGAGCCAGCCCTTACAGATAACCACAGCACAAATCTCACATCCTAAGCTCTAGCAACAGGCCTTGAGTTTATCACGTCACAAAGCCTTCAATAACCTCTCCATCAGGAAAACAGGGTTTTCTAGAGATACAAAACGCATGTAAGAACGGCAGTGCAGCTTCAGTACAGCCTGAGCTCAACCCAATCAGCATCCCGCGCCTCCGATAGCGACCGCGTTTACAAACACAAAAAGCACGAGCTGCAGGATCAGGCCGCCGCGCGACGAGGCACCAGGCCGTGTAAGCGCACAGCGGCACACGAACACCGCGCGGCCACCGGCCCGCTCTGCGCCCACCTGCCCAGCCCTTACTCCTCTCCTCGCCGGCCTCCCTCCGGCTCAGCCTTACCGACACGCTGCTGAAGGTAAATTCTTCCAGGGCAAACCACGGAGGAGACGCCGAGACGTGTCACCTAGGCATCGGCAGAGTCCGGAGGGAACGAGAGCCCAGCGGCAGCCGGGCTAATCCGTGCTTTCCGCGGTCAGAGCGCATCGGCAGCGGCCGGTTCTGCGGCAGGAGCCCCGGCCCGGCCCGGCCCCGCCGCCGGTTTGAAAATGGCGCGCGGCGAAGCAACCACTTCCGCCCCGTCACCACAGCAACGCGGTACGCGCCGCCGGCCCAGCCAACAGCTGCCCGCGCCTGCCGCCGCGCCCCGCCTCTTGTCGCACGACCGGCATCCCTCGCGCTTGGGAGCGGGGCGGGAGGTGGGAGCGGAGGCGGCTCCGCCTTGAGGGGCCTGGCTGCGCCTACAGGCTTCGTCATGCGCTGCCCGGGCTGGGCTGGGGGAACTTCTGCTGCGCATAACCCCGCCCTCCCTGCTGCTTAACAAGGCGTAGCGGGGCTTATAGTGATGCTACATCACGCCTGCTAAAAGGAAGGAAGAAAGCAGCGCTCCGTCAGTATCCAGAGACATCACCCCAGGAGCAGCTCTGCATTGCCGGCTGCCTGAAATCACACGCCTCAGAGACATAAAGAATGCGATGAACAGATTTTAATCGAGAATGACGGCCACCCTCACATCACATCTCAGAACATGAATTCATATTCCCACTGCTTACGTTCCACACCCATGCTTTCTGGAATGAGGATGGGAAGAGATGTGGCAGTCTTTAATGCTTGTGTAATCTCCAAGATGCAAAGTACTAGTAGAGACGGTAGTACCCTTTTGTGTACTACACACGTAGTGCTTGCTGCTTTTAGCAAAAGAGGGGTTATAAATAAAAGTATCTGAACATTAGGGGAGGGGAAAAATGTATACAAAGTGTTTCACAGAATTAATGCTTTCAAACACAATGCATAGAAGAGCAACAAATGACCAAAGGTTTCACTTTGCCCCGAAAAACATTTGAAGCGTATACATACTCAACAGTTAGCTATACACACATACTGAAATACACCTTTTAAAAACAAACAGCATCTATAGTGTTTGATTCCCTTATCATACAGGCACAGACTTTGCTAGCTTCTCTGTCCCTTTATAGAACATTAATGAGATTGTGCAATACTGGAGCAGTAGTCTAAAATATCCTGTATAGTGAATTCCATAGTAATTCCTGATCCAGGATAGCAGCGAGCTATCAGCCCTTCAAAGTGCTTGTACTGTCGTATGAACTCATCTTGCATTGAATGCCACACAACCTGCCAACAAAAGCAAATTTTAGGAAATGACAACTGGTACAGCATACTAAATGTGAACTACAGGACACATTAGCTCATTAATTTATTCCCAGTTAAGGTGACATGAAAACTAAAGCTTGTCAAAAACAAAGTTCAGTAAAGTGAGCTACTGCATTAAAAATTCTCAATGTTTCTTACCTATCAAGTTTCTTAAAGATCATTAATATTTACATCACTCCTACCAAGTGTATTACAAAGCAGAAAAAAAAAAAAAAAAAAAATGAGGTCAGTCTTGAAGAGGCTGCTTCAAAGAAAGCAACCCAAACCAGACCTGCATTTGTATTCACACTCTTAAAAGCTGCTAAGGCACACTTAACTTGTCATTACAACAGGAAGAAAGTTTACATAATATAATACAAGATCTAAATAGTACATTATCAGAAAAAGTCTAGCTGAACTATATTCTACTGCAGTGTACGAGCCAAATTTCATGCTAAGTTAATGGTTCATTTCAGTCTAGTTCCTTCTATTTCCATCTTATTTTGCAGAATAGAGATCACTCACTAATGGACAGATAAGGAATCATAAAGGGATTTTCTTTCAGAAATCTACCATACCTGAAACCAATCTGTTACGATAAATACAATCAGAAAAGGATTATTAAAAACAAACAAACCGCCACAAAACAGTTCAAAATTCAGGGGTTTTCAGAATTTTGCTGAAGCTATCTCCCAGGATACGCATACAAAAAAAAAATAAAGACCTTTCTGCAAACATACAAGAGATTTTAAGCCATGAATTAGTTTACCTGAAGTAAGTTTTCTTCTTCACAGAGATGTTTATCTACCTTCTTGTAAAGATTATCCAGTCCTTTCTTGACTTCTTTGCCAGGATACTCCTTTATAACTTTACGAAGCTCTTGCTTATTAAAAGCCAGTTGATAACTTACTTCTTCTTCTCGTATACCTTGGGCCACGCGAGCTTCAACACCTTCAAAAAAATGCTAACAAACAATAATACTATTAATGATTGTCATAAATACAAACTAATAAACTGCAAAAATTCTGGTCAAACTGCATCTTCAACAAAAATGTGGGGAATGCACAACAGTTGTTCTTTTTAACATAAGTTAAAAATATATAATTATATAAATTATATATAAAATTATATAATTAAGGAACAGCAAACCAATGCAGTACTAAGTAAGTAATACGGTAAAACTGAAATTAATAATCTACAGAAGCAGTTAAGCTTTCAGTTACCACCTCGTAACTAATACTGAACCAGCCTCAAACTCCTCAGTTTGTGAGACCACAGGTTAGGAAAGCATTGGATCTTTCAGATAAACTGACAAAGCATTTGAATTGGAAATTTTCTTCTTAAATCATAATTATACAAGAGCAGTATTGGTTCATTATTGCCCTCTTTTCTCAAGATTCCTCACCATGTTGATCAACGTAAAAAAAATGGAAAGAAATATGCTTATGAATGTGCATGTAGCACTGTAACATCATTTGAAGCATTGCACTGGCTCTGGACAGGATGGAATTAATTTTCTTCACAGCAGCCTTATGGTGCTGTGCTTTGGACTTGTGGCTAAAACAGCGTCGATAACACCACAGCATTCTGCTATAGCATAAGAGTGCTTGCACTGCATTCAGACTTTCCACACACATCCTGTCTTCCTCTTGCCTCCTCCACAGTAGACTGGCATTGGGCAAGAAGCTGGAAAGGGACACAGCCGGGGCAGCTGAGAAGCTGGCCTAAGTGTATTCTCTAGTATATAACATAATGCTCAGAAATAAAAAGTGCAGCTAGAGGAAGTGGAGCAAATGTTTGTCCTCAAGGGTGGCTGTTGTTCAGAGTCAGGTCAACCTACAGAAAGTTAGAAGTGGTAATAAGCATCTTAATTTTCAAGAAAAGAATACATCTTACACTATTCTGACAATAAATGGCTGTAAGCTGTGAAAGCCTGCAGTCCTGCTTATTGAAAAAGCAATTGAAAAATGGAGAACAGAGCAGAACAAGATTAAGTTGAATGCATAGCTCAACTTAGGACATATGGAAATTTCCTAGAACTTTTCTTACAGTTATATGAATCAGAAAGGACAGTAATAGTCTCTGCAGTTGAGGTGGGGAAGATCATTCCAAAGCTCCCAACTGCTCTCCAAGGTAACAGCTGTGGATGAAAACCAGATTTTTCATGGCAAAGTACAGTGCTGACTACACAAGTAATTGTGTATTAAATAAACAGTTTTGAGGAAGGAAAAAAGTGAGGGGAAAAGTAGAGCACTTTAGGCAGCCATGCTTGAGTCTAAAATAGACAGGGATTATGATAGATGCGGTGATAAATAGACTGGACATTGCAAACTAACCATATAAGAAAAAGTTATATACGTACTTTTAAATTGTGTAGGGTAGTATATAGCTAGACTGAAGTATACTTACATTTAATTTCTCAAGAGGCTGTCCAAGTGAGTAGACTACATAAGATTGAAGATGTTCAGTGTATTTCAGTTTGGCTTCTTTTTTCTCAGCTTCAAGACAAGAAATTTTCAAACGAGAAAGTGTTGCAAAAATATGATGGAAATTCTCCATCATTACCACATCCCTGGGTGTTTTCTGGCTTTCATTAGCTACTTTTTCAACTGAAAGATATGGGAAACAAAATATATAGAACTCACAGAGGACAACCAAATTCAGAAAAACATAACTGATGAACAGAGAAAAAAAATATATGGAATTTTATCACAGTGATAAAAACCACAGTGTGGTTTTGTTTTGCTTTTTTTACTTTTTGCAATTTTTAATTCTATGTGAAGTACTACATTTTTCTGACTTGTTTCAACATTACTTGTGAATTAACTACCATGCCGCATTAAACATACTGCTTGCATTAAATTTGCGTATCATTTTGATATTGTTTCATCTCCATTATTTATTTCTATCCCTTATACTCTCTCCATCATAAATACTTGTTGAAGTTCATGCTGTACTAGTGAAATTTTTTTTCTAAGTTCAACTGAAATTCTTTTAAATCTCTTAAAATATACTTCCCCGAATTCTTCCTAGTAGTAATTCTATGTGTATGTTTTGTGTATGGTTTGACTATTAGTGTCTACCTAGTTTCATCACTTGAACAGTAAATTCTGAAGTACTGAATAGTTGGCTACAATCAATGTTTTTAAAATTCACTGTCCTACCAACTTCTACTATGAATTGTAGTCCATTATACTGTGAAATGACACATCTTCACAACCTCCTAATGTGTTCAGAACTCCTGTGCTAGTTTCCTCAAACAAGCTTTATTGCTAGAACTTTCCTCTTCCTTAGCTTCCCTCTGAAAAAAGAGGTAAGTCTCAGTGGATGGAAAGCACTATAGGCAGAGTTGTCTCAAGGTATGTACACAAATCAGTGTGGAGGCGTCTCCCTGTTGTTTAAAAGGTAAGGACAATGTTTCTGGGGTTTAAATTTCTATTACTTCACCTTCAGCTTTTTCTTTTTTTCTTTTTCTTTTTTCTTTTTTTTTTTTTTTTGTTAATAACAACATAAATGAATAAAAACAGGAGAACAAAACTGTTCTGGTTTACCAGATCAGAGTTGGGAAAACAGGGAGGGATAAGAGAGACCTTCTACTGTGTCAGGCTAGGACACAAAGGACCTCAACTGCGATGAAATGGTCAAATTCCTAGCCAGAACACAAGGCTACATAAGGACTGAACAATACAACACCGCACTGAGAAGCTGAACAGTGTTAGATCCAAATGACAGGGATTCCACCCTATCTCCTCATTTAAGCTATGCTGATGAAGAAAAGCCAGAAAATCACTTCAGTCTGGGCCAGTAGTATTGCAGTTATTTCCCCTCTACTTCCTGAGTCCTGAACCACTTCCCCTGTCATAA